GAGGTGAAATGAAGAAACATGCAGTTTTCTGATTTGCGTTCTCTGGTATCCTGTTATAGACCTAGATAAGGTTTGGTTCCAACATTGACCGTTGTTGGCATTAGGGAGGGAAGCTACATGTGCTTCCAGAACTGTCTCCTCATGGTTTGCAGAGCTGCCCTCCATAGCTCTGGTGACCCTCCTGGGGAAACTTCCATGAGCTAAGATGATCCCAAGAGGGCTACCACTGTACTGCAAGCAGCTGGTCTACTTAGGTGTGGGTGACTGCTCTTCGCCATGGTCATACTGCTAGAGCTACTTGTCTCAGGTCTATGGTTTGATTGATCCCAAATACACTAGTGTTCACAGGGAGGGGTATGTGAATTTTTCCCTCAAGGTGACAGTAATTCTGTTCCTTTGATGGAGTATATGGCTCATACAACAACCTGCCGGAATGAAGGATTTTCTTAGAGACTCTTCTATCCATTTACCACTCAGTCACCTTGGGGTGTGAAAGCATAACTTGGTGAATCTTTACTGAGGAGCTTCTCACATGTTTGAGATGAAGAACAACTAGTGCCATCCCAAAGAAGGGAGCATTGTCACGACAGCCCTGGTGACTTTCTATTCTCCCTACAGCTTTAGAGATGAGCATCCTCTCTCAGGTACTTGCCATTTATCCCTAGTGAAAAGGTATCACCCCTGTGCCCCAGTGTACTGATATTAGGCTCTGAGCTGACTTAGTAAAAATATCTAGGCTTATTGATGTCATGGTTCCTAGATGAAACTGAATTGTAAGTCAGAGTATCCTAGATTGTTGTGTTTTGTGGGAAATCATAGAGAGATGTTAATTTTTGTTCTTTTCAAATAAGAGCATTAATAAAAAACTTGACTGTCTTATATCCTGTAATTAAAGAAAGGCTGATCATTGCTCTTGAAAGAGGCGTTATTAAACTGCACAGATTTAGCCTTGTGATTCTTAATTTTCTCAGTTCACTGAGGCTGGTTGAAAGATTGGCCATGAAGTGGCTCAGGTTACAGGTCTTGAGTCTGGGGACTTTTTGTCTATGAAACTTGTTAATTTCATGGAGGTGTCCTCTAAAGTTGTCTTGTAAGACCTTTAATTTGGGAGGACTGAAGAAGGTCACATCTGTAATGCTGCTTACCTCTTTTCTTTCTTTTACCTGTACCATTTGAAGAAGGTCACATCTGTAATGCTGCTTACCCCTTTTCTTTCTTTTACCTGTATCATTTTATTTATTTATTTTTAGCTTTTTGTTGTAGGTCCTGTTTGCTTGCAGGGAGAGAAACAGAGAGAGAGATAGCAAGAGGAAAATTGAGAAATCATCTTCCCAGGAGGCTGGCCAAGCTGCAGTCCCTTCTCCTCTGTTTTCCTCCTGGGATCTTGGGCAAGCACACACATACAAGGTGTGATTTTTAAGACACCGGGTTCAGGTCTTGAACCATGGGGGAGTTCAGCATCATAACCAGTATGCCACCTGCTAGCCCCATACCTGTATGTATCTGTATGATATATTGGAACAATCATTTGTTGTCTTGCATTGTCCTCTTATGATTTATGTATGGATACCTTGTCTCTTCCAACTAGATTGTAATGCTAGGTAAATAGGAGGTACCTAATATCCAACTATCTGAATTTATTTGTATAACTACACTGGTCCGCTCTTTAGAGGACTGTAGGATGTTAGTGCATTTCTGAGTGTGTGTGTTTATGTGTGTATTTTGAAGTCTGCTGGAATTCTTAGTTTACACACATATATATATGTGTGTGTGTGTGTGTGTGTGTGTGTGAAAGACACAGATTTTTGAATAATTAAATGAGTTTTGTAAAGTAAGAAAACAAGTCTCTGGGGTCGAGTCTCCAACCTGCCTCCTCGCTGTTTCTTAATGAGGCTGGAAAGTTGAAAATGCCTATTAAGTAGATGTGGCCCTGCATTTGAAGCCTCTTTATAGCCTCTCATCATTTTTAATGATTTAGTGGTATTGGAGGTTGCAGCAAGGTAGTTGAGATTCTCCCACAAAATATCAGAATTGTTTTTCATTTTAATATATTTTTTACTTTAAAAAATCATAAAATGTACCTTAGAGTGACAGTTGAGCTTCAATATTTATGACTTTCTGATTGCTCAAGTAGTTCAGAAAAAAAAAATGAGCTCTCAGGTAAAACTTAAGTGGAAAAGATTAAAATTCAGAATTATGGACTTTCTTCCTTTGAACAGATATTCACTTTTCCCTGGAAGTTTTATGTGCTAACCCTAGATTCCCTATATTTGACAGTCCTTGACAAAGTACTTAATTTCTTTCTCGAAAATATATGAACTTTTTAGTTTTGGAAATAAAACTTTTTGGATTGGCACCCCTCCTCCAACTCTCCATTTTCACACTTTATTTTTTATTACTAACCAGGCATATACAGCATCCCTCTTGCAAATGAATGATTGATTCATTCCGAGGCACAAGCTCAGGAGCTTATGAGTGAATGAAAGTGGATAAATGACAGAAGATCATTATATTTAGGATATTTTAAATGGTATGATTTATGACATCGATGTGGTGACTTGCAATAGGTGTTCAAAATTGTGCAAGCATTTACCTTCCTTTGAGTTCTTTTGTTTTCCAGTCTTAGGTATTAAGTTTTATGACTAAATAAGCCATATCTCCTTACTGAAGAAGCAGCTCTTAAATTACTATGATTTTGTAATTATTTGTTTCCTTTTTTATAAATTTACTAGAATGTTCCTGAGCTCATTTTTTTTTTATGTTTTTATAAATTTAATGTGTATGTGAGCTCACTGAAGAGAGACAGAGAGTAAGAAAGCACCTCCTGTGGAATGGTCACACCACAATCCCTTCTCCATTTTTCCTTTTGGGATTTTGGCCATGAATGCACACTTGTCTGGTGTGTTTTTCAAGCCACCAGGTCTGGGACTTGAACTGCACAGTGGGCTATGTGGGATCCAGCTGCATTAATCACCCTGCCACTGTCTGGATGCAGATTTCCTCTTCTCAGTCTTTACACCTTTTCAAAGAAATGTGTTATTAGTGTTTAGTGATTTGAGGGGGTACAGGAATAACACAACCATTGCACTTCAAGATATATAGAATGCAAGTTCACTACCATAAACTCTAACTGCTGTTAAAACTACCATAGATGTGACTAAAGGAAAAAAAAGATAGACACTGTTGACTAATAATCTGGGAAAAGACTTAGAAAGAATAACCTACCTTGGGAACCAGCAGTTAGCGTAATGGCTATGTCGCTGGACTCCCACGTAGTCGACCGTGGTTCGCATCCAGGATCCGGTGGCTTAAAACTCACGCCGGGCGCATGTGCGTGCATGCCCAAGATCCCAAGAGGAGAATGGAGGAGAAGGGATTGCGGCGTGACCATCCCCCCTGGGGGGTGATTTCTCGCTTTCTGTCTCTATGTCTCTCTCTGTCTGTCTGGCGAGCGCACGCGCCCTATAGCGAAAAAACCTCTCCAGAAAAAAAAAAAGATTAAAAAAAAAGAAAGAATAACCTACCTCTAAAAAGATTCAGTAAAAAAAAAAAAAGATTAAAAAAAAGAGAAAGAATAACCTACCTCTAAAAAGATTCACTATAAATAAAAAATTTCAAATACTTCATTAAAAAGTGCAAATTTTAGTAACAACTTAAACTGTAGAATTTCTTTTTAAAATTTTTCCTAATTAATTTTTTCAACACATGTCTGATAGCTACAAATAATACAAATAAAAAGCTCTGTCCTGTGAGATGGATATTCTAATGGATCCTGATAAACTAGCTTGTTTTACAAAACCTTGTGATGTGAACTTATTGAGCTTTATATAAAAGACTTAAATAGGTATATATTGCAGACTGACTAGTAAAAGAACCAAAATGAATAACTCAGGATTATATTCCTAGGAGAGCATAAAGGGTTGTGGTGAAATGCTGTTTTTCTAGATTCGACATCTGTGCAGTAGCAGGTACAGCCATATGGTGGTGAAGAAAACTGACCCAGTTACAAAGAAAGTAACATAAAAAACAGAGAAACGGTCAAGATTTGTCTAGAGAAGGTTTCATGACTATGTCTTCCCAAACATACATAAAACATTTTAAAAGGGAGAAGAGAAAAGCCTCCTTCCATTTGGTCTACAAGAAAATATATATTTTTTTTAATTGTCAGAAGGTGTTAGAGTGCTTTCTAAAGACAGATAGAGATAGGGAGAGAACGAGAAGGAGAAAACACCCCTCGTTTGGGGCGTGATCATACCACAATTCATTCTCCTCCATTTTCTATCCTGTCTGGATTTTGAGCATGCATATACTCAATGCCTAGTGAATTTTTCAAATCACTAGGAAAAGGATTTGAAGCAAGGTTGGTGGTGTGAAATCTGGCTCCCTTAACCACTAGGTGGTAGGGCTGACCCAGGAGGTTTTATCCAAAATAATACCTAAAAAAAAAAAATTACTAGGGTTGGCCAATTTTGTAATTTTGAGAATGAGATACAATTTTAAGCAGAGCTGGCCCTAGTTACAAATGAAAAGAAGGCAGATTTGGGACATTTATTTCTCCCCATCTTCTGGTTATCCCCTTTCTATCTCTCATACCATGTGTCCTATTCCTGTCCGTGTGGGAAAAATAACTGGTCATCCATCCTGCATACTTGGACATATACTCCTATGGTATTTGTCTTTGTGTGAGCATGAACAAACCTCCCTACGAGGCATCAACTTTCTCATCTACAAAATAAAGATAAGAACATTAATCTCAGAAGGCAATAGTGAAGATTGATTATACGTGATAATGTTTGAATCAATCAATAATAAGAGTTAGCTTAATAATGAGTACTTCATTTAAAACTAGAAATAAAACTGAGAAGCACCGGAACTCTCCATATATGATGAGTTTCTGTTAGTGGGAGCCTGAGATTACCCCAGGTGGAAGGGTGATTACTCTGCCTGTTGAGGGTGCGTGCTATCTATCAAACCCAAAATTCCTTGGTTCTGTTACTCACTCTGGCAAGGCTGGTCCCCGATGGAACTTTGTAAGGGACGTACTTCCTGTAGATATGACCAACTCTAGAACATGGAACATCGAACATTTCTCCTCCACACATCCAAACCTAAAGAGGGGAAAGTGTAACAAAAGGGAACAGTGAACTTCCCACAAAAAAGAATAACCTGCAGCATTCATAAAACATCATAAAAATCTCTTAAAGTCAAGGATTCAAACTACAGTCAACTATGTGGGAGTCCAGTGACATAACCATTATGCCATCTGCTGGTCCCTACTTTTAGCTATTTTTATTGCAAGGAAAAAGAATAAAAAGAGTTAGAGATACTATGATAGTTAATTTTATGTATCAAGTTGGCTGGATCATGGTATACAGATATTTGGTCAAACATTCTTACTGTTTCTGTCAAGGTGATTTTTAAGATGAGCAGACTTGAGTAAAGTAGATTACCCTCCATAATGTAGCTGGCCTTATCCAATCAGTTGAAGATGTGAATAGAACAAAGACTGCTGAGCAAGAAGAAATTATGCTAGCAGACTACCTTTGAAGTTGAACTGTAGCTCTTCCCTGGGTCTCCAGCTACCAGCCTACTCTGGAGATTTTGGATTTAGCAAGCCTCCATGATTGTGTGAACAATCTCTTGAAATATGAATAATTCCTCTTGTTGGTTTCATTTCTCTGGAGATTTCTGACTAATATAGAAACATAGCTTGCTTCAAAGTGCAACATATTTATATTTTCACTTATATTCGCTTCCAACTTCTTTTGCTAAGGAATGACACTTCAATGAGACTGGCTGAACAAATAATGATTAAGATCAATAGAAGTCTAAGGTGAAACAATCCAATTATTAAAAACAATATTCAGCTGCCTTAATTGTATAAATCTTCACCTGGATGGGATATTTATTTGTGACAAAACTGGCAAGAGCAGTGAGTATTCTAAACTGTAGTATCAATATCTGGAAGCATCTCAAGAGGTTGGAACTTCACATAAGATAAGATATTAAAAAAGTAAATATAAGAACTTTTACTAGGTTCTACAAAAAAATCAACTTTTCTAGAACAGTAAGGGGTATAAAAAAACTGAATTGGACAAAACACACATCATTAGCATAATATGGAGTGTCTTGGGATCAAGGACCTAAAATCTCTTACTAATTTCCGAGTAAACATGTTCTTTTCCTTCCTAAAGGAAATTACCAAAATGGGAAAGGGGTACAAACTGTCTTAGGAGAAGCAACTGAAAGAACTGAAGATGCGGAATCTTGATAAGATAAAATACAGAGACATCATCCTCAAGTATTGGAAGGACATAATGTGTGGAAAAGAAGTTTTGTAGAATCTAAGGAGGCAGAACTAGTATAACAAGTATAGAGCTTAAGGGTATACCTTCAACTCAGGGAAAGGAAGACATTTCTATACAACAATTAAAGCTAAAATGAGCTTCCCATGTTGCTGGAAGTGCTGGAATTGGCAGTAGGTTATGCTTTGGAAACAAGCATACTATGGGTGAGTAGTTGATCCATCTGAAACTTTAGGGTAATTCTAATAACAAGAGTTAGAATTTAAGAATGTTTATTGTGGTACTGGCTCTGTGGTGCAGTGGTAAAGCGCTACCCAAGAGAAGCTGGATGCTACATGGTAACTATTGTTCAAATTCTGAGCCTGAAACATCTGGCATGTGAGTTAAGTTCCCAGGATCTGATGAGATAGAGGACTGGAAGAAGGGGACTGTAATATGAGTAGACCCTGTGAGGGTAGTCCCTATCTTTTTCCCACTCTTCTGTTGTCACCATCTTGTATGCATGCATGTGTTTTATCATGAATAAAGAAAAAAAGAGAGAATTTGTTATGTCCCTTTCATGGATAATTTTATTTCATGCTCTTAAATCAAGGCTTACAGTCTTTACTATTTCCCCAGTTACGTTAGTTGGAAAATGGCAGGCTAGAGAGGCTGAAAAGATTGTCCAGAGCCATATAATTGCCCATCTTCAGAACTGAGATTTGAAACTTATTGGCCTAATTTCTATGCCCACATGCTTAATCAATATTCCCACTCAGAGTCAGAAAAATTCCTGTAAAAGACCAGATAAAAAACGCTTTTGCCTTTGGGTGTCTTAGAGTCTTTCTTAAAACTAGATGACTCTAGGGAACCAGCAGTTAGCGTAATGGCTATGTTGCTGGACTCCCATGTAGTCGACCGCGGTTCGTGTCCCGGACCCGGTGGCTTAAAACTCACGCCGGGTGCATGTGCGTGCGTGCCCAAGATCCCGAGAGGAGAATGGAGGAGAAGGGATTGCGGCGTGACCATCCCCCCTGGGGGGTGATTTCTCGCTTTCTGTCTCTATGTCTCTCTCTGTCTGTCTGGTGAGCGCACGTGCCCTACAGTGAAAATCTCTCAAAAAAAAAAAAAAAAAAACTAGATGACTCTAGTAACAAATAGGTATAGCTCTATTTCAATAAAACTTTGTATATGAAAGCCGGCAATGTGCCACAGTTTACTACCCTTGTTCTATAAGGTACGAAGCACTTTCAAACACTAAAATAGAATAATTCTAAGATAATAAATGTGGGATATTGTATTTACCCTAATTAGACAAAACAATGTCAAAATCTTGGGAACTTAACATCAATAAGGTTTTTCTATTGTTCCTATTATAATTTGGTCTGGGTTTAGAGGAAAGAAGTGTTCTCTGCTCTATGTAGTTTTTCAGGGACCTAGGCTCCATCCATGTAATAATTTCACCATCTTCTAAAGTCTTAGAGTTCTCCTCTACATTTTGTGTAATAGGCTCTGAGGGAAAAAAATAAATCAACAAATATGGTAGAGAAAAAAGTCCACTCACAATTGTTTTGGCCCAAGGTGATGTATAAAAATTCTGTTCACATTCCATAAACGAGAAATAACCACATGGCCTTATCTGAATACAAAACACCTAGGAATTACAGCTTGGGAATGTGCCCAGGAATAATTTACATGGAAATTGGTGAGTATTGACACTGTATTTTCCAAAATAAGATAAGGTGAAATCTGTGGATGATCCATAAAGTTTGGTTTGTAATATTAGCAATTCATATCTTTATCATGGTTTTAAAAATATGTGGTTCCAGCTACTACATAAAAAAAACACTCCAACCACAAGAGCATGAAACAACCATTTTATAAAGCTTATGAATTCTGTGAATGCCACATTTACAAAAACCCCCAAAAAACAAAAAGGAAATAGGCCATTTCTGCACTATGACATATGAAGTCTCAGCTGGATGTAATTCAACAGGTAGGGACTGGAAATATTTAGCAGACTATTCATTCTCATGTCTGGCAGCTGATGCTCTTCATTGGTTAAAATTCCTGCTAAGGCTATTGACTCAATGCCCACATATGACCTGTCAGATGGCCTAGACTTTCTTATAATGGCATAGCCTCAGGAAGTCAGGTTTCTTACATGAAAGCTCTGAGTTGCAAAAATAAGTACCCCAGTGGACAGGCAGAAGCTGTGCTGCCTTTTATGACCTAGTCTCAGTCACTCATTTTGAGTCTAAGTCACTCTACCAGCCTCAAAGGCCTACAAACAGAACCACCATATGATCCAGCAATTCCACTACTGGGTATCTACCCAAAGGATAGGAATATACTCAATGGGAAAAGTACTTGCATATCCATGTTTATCGTGGCATTATTCACAATTGTTAAGACATGGAACCAACCCAAATAGAAAAAAACAGAAGAATGGATTGAAAAAAATGTGACACATGTACACTTTGGAATACTACTCAGCTATAAAAAATAAAATGGGAGTATCTATAGAAATTGGATTACACTTTGGAATACTACTCAGCTATAAAAAACAAGATGGGAGTATCTATAGAAATTGGATTGATTAGGCCTGCAGGTGACGTGGTGGTGTAGAGTGCTGGAATCCCACATGACCAGCTGTGGTTCGAGTGCTGGACCTGGCAGTTTGCTTTCTCACTTTCTCTCTCTCTCTCTCTCACTCTGTGCCTCTCTGGTCAAATTAAAATAGATTAATAGGTAAAGTCAAATAAAATAATTATTAAAAAAAGAAAGTGGATGAATATGGAAGATTTACTGCTAAGAGAAGCAAGCCAGACTATGAAAGAGAAGTATTGTCTGTCCTCACTCAATATATACTGAATGCCTGTACTCTGGCAGAAACTTAAAGACTAGAAGATATAAAAGCATGGAGAACAACTGTGGATACTAGAGTCAGTGTGGGAGGAGGGTGGGAAATTGGGGAGGGTGAGAGGAAAAGAACCAAAGGGATGAAGTAAAACATTTTTTTTTCTTTATATATTTTTTAAAACATTTAAGGGACATAAAAAAGAAAAATTATCCATTGATGATAATGGATATGATAATATCTTTAACTGGACTGATATATAGTGTATTCATGCTGGAAAAATTCATTTTGCATGCTGTAATGATACATAGTGATTAAATGTATAAAAAGTGAAATACATATTTGTGCCAACTTCAAGAAGAGAGGACCTAGACCTACATCTCAATTTGAAGGCACCAAAGGTAATATTATAGTAGATCATGTACATTAAGAAATATTGTAGTGTCCAACCTAATTATCTTTTTTTCAGTCTCTTTTGACATTTTAAATCAAATGCAGCCATATAATTATTTGAAAGATTACTTTCTTTATTTATGAATTTAAAAGAAGTAGAATTTGAACATAATTAGACAACAGATGAAGGGGTGGGAAATAGGGCAGAGAATGTTAGATGGTTCTATGTATAATCAAGTGCATGTTCTTATTGGTCAAAGATAAGCAACGGTCAAGGTTATTAATACTTGCAGCGAGGCCATAGTAATTAATTGGCACAATCTTTTATTCTTCACCAAACATGTAAACATACTGTTATTGCTCCCTAGTTCGTGGAGCTAGTTAATCTTTCCTGCAGGATTAGGAGATGGTGAGAAGTGAGTACAAGCTGTGGGGCCCAGGCTGGAACAATGCTTTTTGTTCTTCATCCTTAATTTGTTTTTGGTTAATATGATTTTGTAGAACACAGAAAGTGGGTGAATGTAGACTAAGTACTATTTATGAGAGAGTTGGCCTGAGTCAGCATTGATAT